GAAAAATAATAAATTGATGCAGCAAACCAAATGAGAGGCCTGACTGAATAGGAAAGACCTTCGCAGAAAATCTTTCAGGCACTTGGCAGACAAGTCGACCTTGCTTGTCCATCTCATACTTCCCTCATCTGTACTACTCTATCATACTTTCAAACACTGAATTCACAATACCTGATTAGGATTTTGCCTTCTGGAATTTCCACAGATCACTAGAGCCCCAGCATTGGATTAAAATACAAAGAGAGAAAAAAGTCTAGATAAACACTGCTCATTCAATAATATTCACAGAAGTTTAAGACTCACTCCCCAGCTCACTCCAGGTGAATACTTACCATTGAGCTGTTTCTTGTCTTCAGACAGAGTAGAAGAAATCTCTACAAGCATTAAGAAAAACAAGCATAACAGTTACAGAAATACTTGCACTGTGCAAAAAGTTACAGCACAGTACTTGCACACATCATGCTGAAGACATTAGCCAAAGTAAGGAACTCCAAATAAACCTTCCAAAACATTTACAGATTGACCAGGAAGCTTCAGATATCAGGAATGACAAATAAATGCAGCACTGATTACCATTCCAAAAGATTATGTCTAATTAAAGAAACAGCACCTCAAAAATGCCAGAAGTTGAGCAGCACTGAAGGACAGGAAATGCAAGAACTCTGGCATTTCAAAACAAACATCACAGGTCATCTTGTGCAATTATAACCTTCATAGCTAAGAAGCTCAGTAAATCTGTTAAGAATTCCAATGACACTTGCCTCACATCATCACATAGCAGACTGTGAATCTGACCAAACCAATCCCTGGAAATCTAAACCCACCCAATCCTTAGCAGAAACGCAGGAGAAAGAAAATCTTATTGTAAGTTCCTGTGTCCAAATTTTTTTATTTGACCAGCTATGATCTGAGTTTTTAATTAAATCTACAGTATGCTGCAACTATTCCAAACAAACACTAGAAAAATTTGAATGTTTTCCCCCTGTTCTTCCAAATCCCTCCCAGTGCTCAGCATCACACCAGTCAGCATCAGTGGAAAAAATGTTATTGTGGGAGAATTCCAAATCCCTCCCAGTGCTCTGCATCACACCAGTCAGCATCAGTGGAAAAAATGTTATTGTGGGAGAAGTTAAGAAGCCTCCTAGAAAAAAAGCATTGCCATTATAAGGTAAAAAGAAAACATTCCACAAGAAGAATGGGATGGTTCACCCCACATTTTTGGTCAAGGCTGTATATGTCTGCATATTCTGCACTTTGCCAGAAGTAGGAGACCTACAAGATGGCTGAATTTGTGAACCAAAGGATGCCACAGAATTGGAGAAAAATAGTTGCAACCATTAAATCTGTCATGTTTTCACTGTAGTTTTGCTAGGGCTCAATACTGAATAACAGTGTCTGCCTCAAAGGTACAGAAAATTTTTGGCTGTAGCCTAGAAACCAAAAGACATACTGAAGATTAAAGTCTCTGGAAACTATCATCATTATTTTAAGACAATATACTACATTTCTTACTGTCCTGGCTCAGAAGAGTCTGTTGTGTCAGCAAAATTTTCTCCAAGTAAATTCAGACTAAAGGACACAATAAAGTGTTCTGGAAAGGATGACTGTCCATAAAGTTTATTCAAATATCTCACTACTTATGCAACTTGCCAAACATATATCTGGGGCTGGAATCATGAGATTGAAAATACAGACTTTAATTTCAAGACGAGAACTGCCTATGACAGTTTATCCCCTGAGATCAGAAGAAGAAAGAGGGATCTGTGGGGGGGAAGGGGAAAGTTACTTTCTACATACACACACACATAACACAGACACACACATAACCCATGCACATCTGTTTTCTAATGGACTAAAAACAAAAGAAGAAACGTAGCAGTATATTACTTATAAGTCTTCATGCATAAACCAGTTTCATCTTCAGTTATCTGCTGTAAAAAAAATTAATATATGCACAGCTTTCAACTCTCTGCAGTAGAGACCGTCCTCATAAATATTATGATTTCAGATTTCTCAATTTCCAAATAACTGTGGATTAAAGCATATAGAAAATATTTCATTCTTAAAAAACCTCACCTTTCGGAGCAGCAATAGGCTTGACAGCCATTCTCCCAACCAGACATTCCTTCAGCATCGATTCATAATTTACCCAACGATGAACCTACGTCAACAAAAACATTTTTGTAACAAAATTTGTAATTCTTACAATGTTGTTTGATGCACTGAAATAGAACAAAAATCGTTTTTTGTACAGTGGCTAATACAATTAATTTAGCAGATGATTTTTTTAAAGCAGACTCAATTATTGCAACATTCAGTTTTACTTCTATTGCATATGGCAAGCCATTAAGTGAAAGAAAAAAGGACCATGAAAAATTCACAATAGTTTAATTCATTCATGTATGCTTCACAATATCTGAACATCATAACCTTGAGCTACAGAATGTATTTCAGAAGAGCATTTTTATGCTGCATGCAACATAATTAACAGAATAAAGACCTTGTCTTTACCACAAGGGTTATTAGTCTTGTTTAGACAATTGAAGGGAAAAGGGATAAAGAAAACAAACGTAAAGGACAGTAGTTTAGACACACAAACATGTCTTACAAGGCAGAAGTATTTCTGCTTGTTTCTGCCTTACTACCACTCAATTATTTGGAAATTACCTATTTTAGAAGGTCAAATAAAGTGAAGAAAAAGCAGTAACTTTATAGACCAGAATTGGAGAACTTGCAGAGGAAATGAATGTCAGGAAACCCAATTCTGATAGGGCATCCAAGATAACATCACAAGAAGCAAAAAGGAAAGTGTTGCACCACAAATTTGAATGCTATCTAGATTTAAAAAGAAAAACTTTTAACTCAACAAGCCAAAGAGATTAACAATCCCATTGACGAGTTATAGTTTCCTTGTATACAGGTAACAGAAAGAAATGAAAGATTACAAACAACAGTTGATTTTTCCAGAAATTTGAGAAATGCTAGCACCCTATCAAACTCCAGTGTTCCCCAGGGCTCAGTACTGGGGCCAGTCCTGTTTAACATCTTTATTGATGACCTGGACATGGGGATTGAGTGCACATCAGTAAATTTGCAGACAGCACTAAATTGGGTGGGAGTGTCGATTTGCCCGGGGGTAAGAAAGCTCTACAGAGAGACCTGGACCAACTTGATCACTGGGCTGAGGACAACTGCAGGAGGTTCTGTAAGGTGAAGTGCTGCTCCTGCTCTTGGGACACAATAACCCCACGCAGTGCTACAGGCTGGGGGAGGAGTGCCTTGAGAACTGTTCAGCAGAAAGGGACTTGTGGGTGCCAGCTGACAGCCAGATCAGTATGAGCCAACAGTGTGCGCAAGTGGCCAAGAAGGCCAATGCTATATGGGCCTGTATCAAGAAGTGGCCAGCAGGACTAGGAAAGTGATTATCCCCCTGTACTTGGCATTGGTGATGCTGCACCTCGAGTACTGTGTTCAGTTTTGGGCCTCTCACTTTAAAAAGGACATTGAGGTGCTGAAGCACATCCAGCAAAGGGGAACAAGGCTTGTGAAAGGTCTAGAACACACCTTATGGCTGAGGGAGTTGGGTTTGTTTAGCCTTGAGAAGAGGCAGCTCAGGGGGGACCTCATCATTCCCTACAACCATCTGTAAGGGGGTTGCAGAGAGGTGGGGGATGGTCTCTTCTGTCATGCCTGCAGGGAGAGGACTAGAGGGAAAGGCCTTAAACTGCGACATGGGAGATTCAGACTAGACATTTGAAAATAATTTTTCAGTGTTAGGGTGATCAGGCATTAGAATAGGTTGTCCAGGGAGCTGGTGGAGTCACCATCCCTGAAAGTGTTTAAGAGGTGTCTGGATGTGGCACTGGGGAATATGGTTTAGTGATTTAGGGGTTACAGTGGTAGTGCTAGTTGGGCAGTCAGACTGGATGATCTTAAAGGTCTCTTCCAAACTTGATGATTCTATGAAAATAGAAATGCCTCTGGGAACAGGAAAGACATCAGCCAAAAGCAATAAAAGTGAACAGTGCATTTTAAAGATCTGAACACTGCTTTCCACTCCCATGACATACTCCCTATGTCAAGACTCCTGTTTCCAAGTACATCCGCTACAAAGTACCCAGCTACATAATTCCAGGCCACAACTTGACACTGGATAAACTTTTATGAGAGAAACTCAAAATTTCTTGAAATCAAAGAATTCTCCAACATTTCCTTTGTAAAAGGATTAACCAAGGATAAACTCAAAGCTAAAACATTATCACATCTTTATTTGCATTGTTAAAAACATTTTGCAAACAAAGGCATAATATATTCTGATGCACAATTCCTAAAGAGGCAACAGATTTCCTCTCAGAAACAGAGGAGGTTTCCTTCCTGCTCTTCCCCAGCTCCTCAGATAAACCTAGTGACTCAAAGCGATTCAAAGAATGTCTTTTTCTAAAAGAATACCAACACAGTGAATCGCACCAAATCTGCAAGTGATTCCTTGCAGAAGGCACACCCAAGCTGCAGACCCTTCAGTTCAAGTCTTTTCAAAACATTTCAATAAACAGTAAGCAGAGACCAACTGCCATCTTGTGATTTGTTCACAACCAGTTAATAGCAGCTCCAGCATTTTTTCTGATAATGCAGTTGCCAAGTTAAAAGACAAAGAATTCCCCAAGCATTTTTCAAACCATGAAAGCTCTGAGAAAAACAGGTCTCTCAAACTACAGCAATTAATCATTGTAGCAATTTATTAAGAATCTCAACTTCTTGCTTGCTATTTCTGCTAAAAAAAGGTCTTAATGAAGCATCATTACTACAGAAAGTGACATTTTCATTAGTGTCTTTTGGTACAAAGTTTAAACTACATGCCTCTTTCAGCACATGTAAGTGTCACTCTAAGAAGCAACCAACTGCCCTTCCTTAGGACTGAAAAAGTTCAAGTCACCATTTCCACTGGAACGCTCTTAAATTAACCAGAAAACATGCATTTTTCTAAATACAGTGCACAAGTGTCATTTGCTGCCAGTTGTTCTCACCTGATCAAAGAGATCTGTTCCATCAGTTCCTGCTGCTTTCATCAGTTCATCCTCTCCTCCAGGATGATATTCCATGTATGGTGTGACATTATATACAAATCCTGAACAAAATGGAATGCAAAAACATGTGAGCAGAATTTACACAACCACTCCTATCTCCAAAACCAATGAAAAGGTTAGCACATATCAAAGAATGCAATGGCAAACAGTAGGCATCATTGGAACAAATAGCATGACTTCACAAAAACAGACACATAAGTTACACAATTGTGTAGAGCACAAGAGGTATCTTTGAACATGGAGATGCCAATCCTACAATGCCATACTACTTGTCCCAGGGAACATCTGCTGGGTTAAGACATCAGCCTACAAGTTGAACAAGATGTATCCTAGCTAGGGGGTAAAAGAACCAGAGACATAAAATTGAGCCAGCTAGTGCACAGAATTGTTTTCACTCTCCCTTCCTATTAAGTTATCGCTGATGTGTTGTCATAGTTGTTTCCCTTTTACCCATCACCTACGAAATAAAATGCCTAAAGGAACGAACTGTTTCCTATAAGGAAAAACTGTCACCATCAGCAACAAAACTTCCATTCTTCAGATTCAGCAATACAAGAAACTTAACATAGCCTACACTCATTAAGGGCTTACAACTCTGGTACCAAAACTGTCCCAGTAAAGGGGCTCAGAATTCTTTCTACACTTCCAGGGAGATAAAAAAATGTTTCTTCACAGGTCTGAAATTATGAAGTCTAATTATTGCTGCTATGCAACCAGGGTAATTTGAGCCTGAAGAATGTAGCTATAAACAGATTTAACTGCAGACATACTGCTGTTAACGTGGTTATTGCAGGCCTACCTAGCAGAATATTTAAAGACATTTAACATTATCAAAACAGTAACATACCAAAAGTTGAACTGTGACAGTGCTTCCAGAAAAAGCTTTTGAGACATTAAGAAGTGTACATTAATTACTTCAGAAGGAGACACTGAGCCTTGGAACAATCCCAGTTGGCAAGAACAACCATCCCAGTCCACAAAGGAAGAATCTTTGCATACTTTACTGACTGTGCCATCTTGTGTGCAGCACTGACTACTGCACACAATAAAACAAGTGTCTGCCTAGGTATGACCTCCTGAATATTAGTCAAATTTACCATCAAACTTGCTGGAGCAAAAGAAAACTCATTTATATACCCATCATGCATTTTTTACTCCCCTGACACCCCCCTTTACATACAAATTTGTGGCCTACACAAGTTTTCTTTGATGAACATTATACTGGGTTTTTTAAACAAGTTAGCTCCTGTTCTTTTGCTTCACATTTCTCTCATGAATTTCTGCTCTTTCTTACAGAGATAGTCAAGCTACTAATGCAGAGACCTCATTTAGCTCCTCCACAATTATGAGTTATGTAATTTTACTAACTACCCACAAATAATCTACCAGGTCTACAAATAATCTACCAGGATTCTCAGTTATGATATTTTTTATCAGTCACCTGAGAACCAAAAAAAGGCAGAGATGGAAAAATTTAAAGACAGATACAGAAGCAGCTTGATGGAGTTCTTGTAAAAAACAACACCAGAGATGCAGTCAAGGGAGGAAAAAAAGATCAAAAACAAAACAGAAGGGTTTTTAAGCAGTAATTCTGTCTGCAGTACTAGATGTCCTTTTTTCAGAGGGAAAAATGAACAGATCTCCAAAGTAAACAAGCTTTCCTTAGCTCTCCTCCCACTATAGTTTTGCTAGCATATGCAAGAGCAACACAGAGCATTAGCAATCCTATTATTGTGTTTGAAGGCCAGTACTCAATACCATTTCACTCTTACTCTCACTTTCAACTCCTTTAAGATCCAACACAAACACAGTCACTCTGACAAAGAAATTCTTAACTTTCTTTTGCTGACATTCAAGCATGACATTACATCTAATATCAATGCTGTTCCTTACCAGATCAAAGTATCACTAAAAGAATCACTCTTCCTACAGAAATGTCACATTAGCTACTCTGATCTTCTACATCAATATTGACAATATTAATGTGTTTTAGCCTTTAAATAATTACACTGGAGAGCAAACATTTTTACTCCTTTCTGTAGGACAACTATGAACTTCAGTTTCAGCCCTGAAAATACACTTCTAGCCAGTGCTATTGCTCCAGACCACCTTCACACGTTGCTACATGTTTAACATATGATCCTTTCACATTGAAAGTATCTTTCATTTTGAGCTAAAATTTTACTAAAATAATAACATAAATAGAATGGCAGAGTTAAAATAGATATTTGTTATGCTAGATAGAGATTACAATCACCCTGTATGGCAACATCATTTGCATTACTATGTTTTATGAGGCAATATGTGGGCTTGCACAATTATTTCCCAAAGACTTTTCTAAGGGTTTAAGTAACATTTTTAATACTTGTAAGTCTCTGGACACTTTAAAGCAATCACTAAAACCAGTCAACTGCTGAAGATAATAAACTGTCCAAAACTGAGGAGTGTAAGTCCAGGCCAGCATTTTCCTTTGTATTTGACACATCACCTACAATCTTGTGTTTTATTACTTTCATATGCAGTTCTAAAACAGGCATAAAATATGCCTACTTGGAAGACTTCTTAAGAAAGGTCTGATAGCAAAGAATACCTTTGTGACACAAAATCTGACTTGAATAGAGCTGCATCCAATTATCTCAAGATTACACCTGGCCTAAACAGAGAAGAAGCATAGTTTGTTTTGGGGTGTGGCTTTTGTTGTTGTTGTTTGGCTTTTCTTCCTTCTTCTTTAAGTACAGAAAACAGAACACAAGTAAAAAATGCAGAAGCCACACCACAACAACCAACCTCTTATACATATCCAGCAGTCCTCCTTTTTGTTGTGTTTAGCAAGCTCATCTTCAGTCACTTCAATCAGCCTCCCTTTCAAACCAGTCAAGTCCTTCCCACTTTTAGTTAGTCGAATCCAATCCATAAGACTCCTTCCTGGTTTTAAAGGTACCTGAAAAATAACAAACGTACAAGCATCATTAAACTCTATAGGAAGAAAAAGCCATGCAATACAATTGAAGGAAGACTCAGACAAAACAAGAAATAACCCAACTCATATTATTCACTGATACTTGGGAGCTCTACTCAGCAGCAAGGGTGCTTAAGGAAGAGTCCTGGGTAGTAACATCAACAAATATTTTGCTTAAGGAAGAGTCCTGGGTAGTAACCCAGACACAGATTATTGAACATCAACAAATATTCAGACAACTCTTCCCAAAGCAAACTGAAGATACCACGTCTGCCTGTGGTGGTAAATAATTTGAGATATTGTCTGGAAAAATACAAGCAATGAAGAAGAAAGATTTGAAAATCATGGCCAGGTAGAACAAGGTTTGAAAGTTTACCTTCACAACATTCATGAAGACTTTCCACAAGCCCTACAGCAACTGGAAATCTCACCCAGAGAAAGCTGGGACTGAAGTTCCCTAGCTTACCAGAGATGTTTTCACCATGGCCTGCCCTGGAAGGCAGAGCAAGATCTTCAGGGCATCTTCCACCTTCCTTTACAACAGCACCACACACTGGGAACCCCTTTGGTCCAAACTTTAACAGCAGGAAACAGGGTTAAAGAGTCGTGGTCTTTCAAAACCACAGCAAAAACAGAAGCAAGAAAACTAACAAGTGCATAGACCCACGTTGCTTGATGTTATTATAGTCTAAATACAAGTCTGCTGTCAAAGTGAGGTCTGCAGGCACCAAGTGCCCCCAAAACCTCTCCAAAGATGAAGACCAAACACATAAGAACAAACTCTATCATTTATATATACTAGTATGTGTCTTCCATCTCAGTCTCTCTTTCTGAAGTAATTAATGTACACTTCCTAACGTCTCAAAACCTTCTTCTGGAAGCACTGTCAGTTTCACTTTCGGTATGTGACAGTTTTGATAACGTTAAATCCCTTTAAACACTCCGCTCGGCAAGCCTGCAACAACCGCGTTAACAGCAATATGTCTGCAGTTAAACCTGTTCATAGCCACCTATTTCAGGCTCTAACAAACCACGCGCAGCAATTTCAAGCTGAAATTCTCCGCACAGGAGGCACAGCCTGGGCAGGCAGCGCGTTTATCATTATCAGCCTTCCAACGAAGAAGTGTTTTCCAGCGCCGACACCGA